ACTCCATCATTTACTAATCTTTTAATTCTTTGTAAGGAGATATGTCCTTTCTCCTGTGCCATAATGAAAAAGATTTCTCTGTTTTAGCCTTACGCTTGATGCCAATATTTCCATGTAAGGTTAAGTGGTTATGGTCAATATTAGGGTTTAAATATAATTTATATAAACCATCAACCAAAATACCATTACCAATAACAACAGAATCTTTTATAATACTTAAAGAAGTATTAAAGAAATTAAAACTAAAACCAAATCCGACAAGTTCCGAAATAGAAATCAAATTTTTTGAAAAAGTTGGAATATAAAAAGTTCTTTCAAGTTCTAATATAGAGCCAGATGGTAATGTTAGTCTGTAGGTTCCAACCGCCTCTACATGTGAACTCATCTTGTTTCCCGAATAGATGAAACGTTCACTTTTCGTCGGTCTCCTTAGGTTGATTAAACCCTGCATGGTATTGGCAATGTGAATTGTAGAACCAGAATCAATACATCAAGCATCATTAAATGTATTAACTACATTTGATTCATAACACACAAAGGAAAAGAGATTGCCCTTTTTAAGCGGCTAAGCCTTCTACTTTGGACATTCCTTTTTTATGTGCCCTTTCTTTTTGTAGAAGAAGCATTTGATGGTACCTTTATCGTCAACTTTGCTAGTTGATGCATTTCCCTTCTTCTTAAATTACACACCCTTTTTGATATGTCCCTTTCCATGAGTCGCTAGATGAGTACTTTATATAGCTTCTCCTGATTCAATCTCCCCTCCTCTTGAACACGCATGGTAAGAAATTCATTAACTGACCATGTTTCCTTATGTGTGTTATAAGAAATCTTGAATGGCCCATATTCAACAAGCAAGAAGTTGAGTATAAATTGGACAAGGAATGTCTCTAAAAAGGTAAACTCCAATGAGTTCATTTAGGCAGCTATATCTCTTATTTTTATAAAATGTTCACGGACCCCTTTATCACCCATATGCTTCATTGATGATAATTTGGTTATTAGGGTGCTAGCTAATGCTTTATCGGAACTTACAAACTGTTGTTCAATTGCTATCATGTATTCTTTTTCCTTAGTACATTCAGGAATTGAACTCCTTATGTTTTTCCCAATATGACTTTTAATGAGACATATACTTAAGCGATTTGATCGTTCCCACCTCTTATAAGAAGCCCTTTCACTTGGCGTACTTGATTCCGTGGGGATGGGTGGTTCATCCACACGAAGTGCCAAATTAATGTCCATACATCCCAATGTTAGAAGGATTTTCTCCTTCCAATCAGAATAATTATCACCAGTTAAAAATGGGATATGAGATGAACCAATATTGACAGAACCAAATGAAATTACTGCAAAAGGAAAACATGCCAAACATTACTATACTATACAATAAACTTTATTGAAATTCTTAATCCACGTTAAAAATTTCATATCAAAACAATGTGTCATTATAACCTTCCTGTGGGCAGAGATTTTAATACACTAAAGTCTTGAAAAATATAACCATAATGGGATAAAATATTCTTTACTGGCATTAAACTGATAATGATACAGTCCTGTGGGCATTTTGTATTCATTGTCAGTTTAATTCCATATCCTCTCTTTTTTTTGTTTATCCACGTTCATTCATAAACAATGATTATTTTCCTGTAGGGCAGAATAAAACACTTTTTATGAATGAACTATAACCTTTTAATGCATAATCTTTATGTTATATAAATATCATATATTAAAACCTTTTTATTTTTTATTTTATAGCACAAAACCAACAACCAAAGATGCTGTGGCTACTCTCTGGTTAAAAAATACATATTAAAATAGTAGTAATACTTATACTTTAATAAACTACATGTATGAGAATATATTGGACATGAATTTGTTTTTTCTTTTTTTTTTTAAAAAGCAGTAACTGTACAACATTGGAGTATTCTTCATTTCTATAGAAATTTTCACTCCAAAGTATTCTGCATAAATAAAAATTCATTATAAAACAAATCTTTATGGTCTTATGATGAGATTCACCCTTTTTTAAAGCAGTCGTGAAACCACTCGGGTCTGAATCACTTTTACCATAAAAAGCCAACGTTGTTCCCACTGTATAAATTCACGATGACATTCTCCCATATTTAAAGCAGTCGTTAAACCGCTCGGGTCTGAACACTTTATTCATCGCAATCCTTATGGGTGTAGTATTCTACCACTTCATTCTGGCTAACGTAGCCAAACGGTAAAACAGTACTGGAAAAATATTACAAACAGAAACACACCCACCAAAAATAATACAGAACAAATAGAACACAAAGGAAATATTACAGGCCAAAAAGATAATGGCGACATAGCCGTTAAACAAATATTACAGGCCAGAAAAAGAACGGCAGCACAGTCGCTGAACAAATATTATAGACATACAAACCGAAGGATAACATAGCCAAAAGGTATCACTCTGATACCAAATGAAAGAAACTATCAAGTCTAAAGAGATCGTATTACCTCCAGCCATGAAATCAGGTTGGTTAATGCCTGCAAAACAAATTTGGAAATCCTAATGATGTTCACGCCTATACAAATCTTTATGCGTGTACTTGATGAAGACAACACAGACTGCTTTTGTTAGGCATGGGACCTCTATAAGGATTCTGTATGAATGAAACGAGAGAGAGCAATCCATCATGCTAACCCTTGTTTTAAACTAATCAGATGATAACCACCATCAACTTCCCACAACCACGCTGCTGTAACTTCCCACAACGTGTAACGTTGTGTCAGACGCAGTGGATTAGAATATAAATGTATTGTGACAATACAGGCCTCACACGTGTTATAAATATACGTGTCTAACATTCTCCCACTTGGTCAATATTGACACACTTACTTTCAGTAACTAGTAATGACTTTTTGTTTACAGTTGTAAAATTGAAATAAAAAATGTCCTACTTCAACTACACAATCTAATGATGGTGAAGATTTGAGGTATAAGAATATAATTTGTGGTTGTGGGAAAATAGCTTCTATCAAAGTAACAAAGTACTGTTAAAATATGATAGCCTTATGTCACGCCCCGCCTATGGAGGTTGTGCCACGCAGGCGACACGCAGACGCTGAGGAGGACGCTGTATGGCAACTGCATGGCAAGTGGAGTTTCTAGAGTCTTTCGGAGTAGTCTAGAGTTATGTGGAAGATTCTAGATATGTGTAGTATATTCTAGAAGTGTGTGGAAGGTTCTAGAATTCTCCAGAATTGTGTGGAGTAGTATGGAGGGTTCTAGAATGTTGTAGATATGTATGGAGATGTGTAGAAGGTGTAAGAAGATTCTAGAGAATCAATCTCCACCATTGGTTAGAATGCATCCTAGCCATCCATTAGGGATGGGGATGCCTATAAATAGGAGTAGGACTTCATTTTGTAACCAACAAGTCCTAAAGTGAGTCTTGAGAGCCTTGTAGAGAGCTTGAGTGTTAGCCTTGTACAAAGCATTCTTTGAAGTAATAGAAGTATTATTTCCTTGCCAACTTAAGTGCCTTAGTGTGTGTGAGTGTGCAAGCCAAGTGAGGAGAGGGCGAGGGCAACTACAACACTAGTAAGCGCACGAGGGGAGTGTGTTGGCTAAGGTGTGCACGGGAGTTAGGCTGACCAAGTACTTGCGAGAGTGGAAGCAACGTCTTGGTGCCGCACGGGAGCAGCTAGAGTGGTGCTGAAACTCTAAGCCCGTGACACTTAGTTGTACCAATTGACTATAGAAGATAGCGTGATTTTAGGCTGTAATTCAGGATATAGCTTGATTCTAGGAATTTTGTCTAGAATGATCACTATATATACTCTGTACATATTCAAATGTAAATATATCAAAAAATTATAGATACAATTCTTTAAAGATGGTATCAGAGCAAGGTTCAAAACCCTTTTGATTCATTCATTCCAATTCATAGCCAGAAATTCATACCTGCCTCTAGCCCTCTCGTTCTCAACTTTGAACTTACCTTCTCTCTCTCTAACTACCAGATTGTTCAAAATAAAAAAAAAAAACATTAAATCAAAACCCAAATCCAGTTCAGGTTCGCGATCTGGAGATCGTCAAAACCCATATCCTTCAGCCGGACTCTTCAGTCCACAGCCGTCGCTGTTGCCGATCTCAGCCGTCGCTGATCTCAACTAGTTTCTTGGATCTCACCGTGGTTCTCTGACGCCTTTCTTGCTCTCTGTTTGGTCTCTATATTGGGGCTGTAAAAAAGAAAAAGAAAAAAAAAAAGAAAGAAGAAAAAGCCTTGGTCGTTTGTCCCTCGGAGAAAGAAAAAAGATACGTAAGCTTAAAGGCCCTGTAGACCCCTCCACTCTAGACAAAATCATTCCATGCTCCACCAACAAAAGTATTCCCTTTTCTTTTAAAAAAATATATATTATACATACATATATATATATATATGTATGTATGTATGTTGTTTCCTTGTTTGAAAGGCCCAAACATATTTACCCCCGGGGGCTTGGCTGTGATGGTAAGAGCTTGCCACTTGCACTCACCCAGCCAGTGTTCGGCTCCTCCCAAGCCATCCATGTCCTCTTACTCACCCGGTGTATCCTTGGGGCGAGACTCTACACCCCCAGGTTTGTAGCTTAGGGTGGGTCCCAAAGGGGCCCTGCCTAAGAGAGTTCCTGGTGCTAACTAAAAAAAAAAAAAAAAAAAAAAAAGGCCCAAACATAATTTCGATAAATCAAGCCCAGTTCATTTTTTGGCCCATTTTTCAGATATTTAGCCCAAATAAGCTTTGGCCTAGTTCAGAATTTTTTTTTTTTTTTGGGCCCAGTTGTTGCAATTTTTTTTTCTATATTCTGCTTGGTTAAAAAAAAAAAAGGAGGGAGAATGATGAGTGAAAAATTCTGAGTCATCTGGGATTAAATCCACTCCAGTTGTAGTTCAATCTTAAGGAATTTTTAATGCAAGAATTACTCTTACTGAATCAAATTACGACATATGGTCTTAACTTATGGAAATGCAAATTGCTGAAAGGGACAAAATGTCATACATTCATGGCAATACTAAGCCACCTGCAGAATTTGATGAAGGCTATGAAAAATGGTATGCTGAAAATCAAAAGGTTAAACGGTGGATATTAATGTCTCTGTCTCCAGAAATTATGAGGTGTTATCTATGCTTATCCACTGCTTACGATATTTGGAATGCCTTGTCAAAAGCTTTTTATGATGGAAGTGATGAAGTGCAAGTTTTTTCTCTGAATTAGAAGGCCTTTTCTGCCAGACAAAAATGAAGAATCCTCTCCGTATATTATGGAGAAATGACTGAAATTTTTCAAAAGTTGGACCATTGTGATACAGTGGTTATGAAAGATCTAGACGATATCAAAGCCCATCCGAAGTGTATTGAATGATTAAGAGTTCACATCTTTCTCGCTAGATTGGATAAGATTTTGATTCAATCCGACGAGAGATTTTACGTAAAGACTCAGTGCCAAATCTGGATGAGTGTTACTCCTTTGTTCGACGAGAGGCTGTACGCGGTACCACCCTAAAAGGTGATTCCGGAGCATCTAAATCTAGTGCCATGGTAGCCCATAACCGATCTAATCAGGGTCAACAAGATCGAGGACGGCCCAACAATGGTAGACCAACCAATGGTATTGACAAGTCTTCCTACAAATGCACTCATTGCAGTAAGATTGGTCATACTGAAAGTCGTTGTTTTGAGCTAGTAGGATATATAGAATGGTGGGATCCTAGTCATGGAAAGAAAAATCAACAAAAGCCTTCCACTGCAGCAGTTGTCCAAACAAAGACGGAAGATGAAGTTGCTAGCAAAGCCTCGGCATTGGTAATAGCTACAGATAATGGTAAGGTTTTAAATATTTCTACACCCGTTTTGAATAATGCATGGATAATTGATTCTGGTGCAATATGACATATGATTCTAGACAGGTCTCACCACTCAATTCTTCCCCCAAAAAATTTGTGTCTACTGCAAATGGAACTTCGACCCCAATTATTGGGGAAAGATCATTGACTTTAAATGATACATTCAATTTAGATTTTGTTTTAGTTGTTCCATTTGAGATTATAATCTTTTATCAGTTTCTCAAATAACCACTACCTTATCTTGTGTTGTAATTTTTTGGTTTGATTTTTGTGTGTTTAAGGACATCAAAACCAGGAAGACGATTGGTTATGGTATTGGGTAGGGGAAGCTGTATTACTTGGACTTGGAATCAAAGAGTACCGAAAGCCTACGACAAGCTCTGATAGTGGGTGGTTCTGCAGATACAAAAAGGAAAGAAATATAGTTATGGCATTGCCGTTTTGGGCATCCTTCATTTGGATATCTCAAAAAATTATTTTCCAGTTTATTTATAAAAATTGATGTTTCTAGTTTTCAGTGTGATGTTTGTGAACTTGCAAAAAGCCATCGTAATTTGTTTCCATTACGATTGAATAAAAGTCCATTTCCTTTTATGATTATTCATTCTGATGTTTAGGATCCATCTAAAGTCACTACTTTGGGTGGGTCATGTTGGTTTGTAATGTGCATTGATGATTGTACCAGGATGACATGGCTTTGCTTGATGAAATCCAAAAGTGAACTGAACTTAATATTCTAACAGTTTTATAAAAAGGTTGAAACTCAGTATAATAGAAAGATTCAAGTTCTTCGCAGTGATAATGGTGGAGAATATTAAAGTACTGAATTTCAACGCTATTTGGAAGCACAAGGAATGATTCATTGCATAACTTATTGGTAGTTGTCAGAGCTCTGTTAATCAAAGCCCATATGCCATTATCTTATTGGGGAGAAGCACTCACTTCTGCAGCTTATTTAATCAACCGGGTACCCTCCAGCACCATTAATTCCAAAACACCATTTCAAACCCTTACTGATGCAATTGTTACCCCAACTGTCTCAAATTTAACTCCTCATGTCTTTGGCTATGTGGTGTTTTCATCTACACAAGCATCAATGCACCAAGTTAACTCCTCAAGCATTGCGATGTGCATTTGTTGGATATGCCAATCATCAAAAAGGATATCGGTGTTACCATCCTCCAACACGTCGATTATTTGTCACGATGGATGCTGTTTTCCATGAAGATACAATGTACTTCTCCAAGCCTGAATTTTAGGGGGAGTACCAAAAGGAAATTCAAACCCTAGATTATGATGAAAGTGATAGTCAAGATGTGGGGCAAGTTGGATATAAGTGGTATAACAGTTGATTCCAGTGGTAATGACTCACAGACAAAAAACAATCAGGAAATGGGTGAATTGGATTTAAATGGTATGACATTAGATCAAAGTGGTGATGAACACCCAATAATCGAAGAAGTGGATCTATCTCCAACTCAACCTGAAATCGAGTTTCTGAAAAATATGGCTCCATCTCCAGTCGACATATCACACCAATCACTTATGTGACGTTTCCCATTTTTTCTATTTTCTAATTTCAGGGATTTTTTTGATTTTTCTGATTATTTATTTTCTTCACCTCGTTTTACGTACTAG